ACTTTGGGCAATTACTGCTCGTCACCGGTTAAAGCAGGAATTGTGGGAGCGGGCAGAAATTAAAGGGCCTCCAGACCTTTTATTATCAGCCCTCAGATTATTAAAATGTTGAAAATTTAGTTTGGAATTAATTTTTGGGGCAAAACCTTCAAATATGCGAAAAATCGATTTTCATGGATTTTTTCGAAACTTTGGACAATTACTGCTCGTCACCGGTTGCAGCAGAAATTCTGCGGAGCGAGCAGTAATCAGCAGAAATTACGTAGAACACGAAACCGTGCTCGGATTTAAATTTTGGAACCGAGGGGGCTAGCGTCACGGAGCTGATTTGGCCACATTTCTTTCTTTCATCAACCATTTTCGATATCAGTTTCTTTGCACCGTTCGTTAATGCAGTCACTTTATTGGGAGAATCATTGTGATCATGTGCAGCTGTTAAACGGTACAACTCATACTATGTGGCGCCGGGTACCTTTCCAAATTTGGTGCAAATTCCAGCTGAACACGGCTCAGTATGAGTCTTGACTCCAGTGCAGCGATATTCACCAACATAACCATCTTTCGTCTGCCGATCTTTCACGTGTTTCCATGTTTGCTCACCTAATAATAATACATAAATGATTTTAGTAACATTATCAAGACTTTATGGCCAGATTTAATGATGATCATCTGACGAAATTATTTTTTTCACATATATTACCGTTTATGAATGCATCACATTCCTCAAAGGTATTGAACGTGCGCTCCGGATATGCTGGCCATTTGAAGGGGACCCCGTACCGCAGTTTTTTTACCGGTGGTGGTGGTGACGGATTTTCTTGCTCGTTTTCTTTTTCTTCATTGGCCAAGCATTTTCGACGATTCAATAAACCGGAGATTGATGAGGTGCTCCTATCTGCATCTTCCGAGGCGGACGAGCTACATCGACTTAAATTGGCTGCATCCACCGTTTCAATAGCCAAACCGTGTGCAACTTCACGAATTCGTTGTGTTTGTTGTAATTGTTCTCCATGTATGGTCTTTCCACCTGTCGATGTTCCAGGCTGATCATTTTGATCGCGTCCTAAAAAGAGAAATGAAAATAAATTTAACACAGACATACAATCGATCGATGAAAAACCGTGCGCATTTTTGCGACCCACAATGAAAAATGCATTCAGTATGTATTCACTACCGAAAAAAACCTTAGAAATCACGAGCTCAGTTTGTTATAAATTTATGCTATTGTGCGAATGAACTATGACTACCTGAAGCACTGTTTGATACTGTCGATAAATTGGCTCGATTTCCACGATCGTCTTGAGCACGTCCTTAAAAATGAACATTGTAATTTTAATATATTGCAACATATAAATGTTGTCGTAATCTATATATACCTTCTTCGAAGCGTTACTTGTCACTGTCAATGAATCACCTTGATTTTCATCATTAATACGAACTAAACAAATCAAACGTATTATAATTTGAATTTTTTATAAAATATATTATATCCGATGCAAACATGATTTTTTGTGGAATGTAAATAAACGGTCGGTGTTATTAACGAAGATTTGTCGTTGAAAATTCTACGCAGACGCCCTCTACCCACGCCGTTGTCGCTCTTTGAAACAATGGTGCTGTCAATGCTTGTGTCAACATCATTGTTGTGATTCATTTGTTTTGGCGGACTGTTGTGCGAGTGAATAATAACAAATGTTATATTACAAAATACGATGGGAAATTGTAAAATATTAAATTGCAAGACCAAAAAAGGCGAACAAACTTTTTTCAAGTGAGTATTTTTCATAAATTATGAGTGAGTTGTTTCATATAGAATATTTACAAACAAAAAAATCACAAAAATTCGCAGTGTTCCACACGATCTGGCTACGCGGAAAAAATGGGTTCAGCAGATACGGCGCCATCAAACATTTGACGATACACCGATTTCTTATCCTGTGTGCTCTCTTCACTTCAATCCGACCGACATAATCAAAAACGGCAAAAGAACCACACTTAAAAAAGGTTCGCTACCAACGATTTTTCCAAGGTAGGAAAGAAGCAATACATTCACATTGTTTATATTATTAAGCCAGACACGATTTTCATATTGATTTCAGTGCTGATGGACGGAATGTTGTTTTGGAAATTGAAGAGTATCCACAAGAAATCGAATTAGCTCTGAACAATGCACAAACAACATCTCTTTACATTGAACCAATCCAAGAAAAAAAGTAAGTTGAGTTTATAGCTGTCTTTTTGTTCTCTTACACCGAATAAAAGAAAATGAAATGTTTTTGATTCAATTTATCGATAATTCTTCCAGTTTGGTGGGAGCAGTGGCAGATTTTGTACCGGTTGAATATCAAAGTCAGGCAACGCCATCATCGGTCACTGGTTTGGTCTCCAAAATGAAGCCACAAACTGCATCAGTCCAAAAGAAAATGCACCAGAAAGAGAATGAAGTTCCAAACGTCACAGCTTCGAATAGCGCAGAAAATTCATTGAACGGAACTCAATTGTGAGTATTGTTTCATTTTTTAATTGTGTTCAATTTCTTCAACCATTCAAAATATGCATATATGTTTTCTAATGAAATTTTATTGTCCATTAGGCCCAGCAAAACCATCACAATCAGCTCCGAACAATTCGCCCGTTTTCTACGGAATGAAGTGCAATTGATGAAAGTGAAGGAATTGTGCCAAGATAAATCGAATGAAATAAAAAAACTACAAACACAAGTGGCATATTACAGAAAACAAGCATCGAAACGTACTGGTGAAGAGTTGAAAGAACACGAGCAAGCCGAATTACCCAAAGTAAATTAACCTACGCCGAAATTTAATTGCACTTTAGTTTCTATCGGTTTCTATCATTTAATTATTTTATATTTGTATTTTTTTGGAATTGTATAATTGTTTTTTTTTCTTTTTCTTTTTGAATAAATAAATGCAGACTTCGATGCAAAATATACTGGATTGTTTGACTTTTGGAAGAGATAAGAAAACATATTCTGAAGACGTTCGATCATTTTGCCTTACTTTACATTACTACAGTCCGAGAGCGTACAATTATGTCAGAACAAAGTTTGAGAACCACTTGCCGTCGAGATGCACGATGCGCAATTGGTATTCTTCAATAAATGCTGCACCAGGTTTCACATCTGAAGCTTTTGATCTTCTGCGGAAAAAGGCCGAAGAGTACAAAGCAAAAGGATTGAAGCTGTACGTTTCTTTGATATTTGACGAAATGGCAATACGTCGACATCTTCAGTGGAACCACAATAAATTAAAGTTTGATGGATTCATTGATATGGGCCGGTCAGCTACGAGCGAAGAACCTCTTCCCCTGGCGAAAGACGCTCTAGTTTTCCTTGTAAGTGGCACAAATGAAGACTTCAAGATTCCCGTTGCTTATTTTCTAACTAGCGGCCTTATAGCTGAGGAAAGAGCTGCACTAGTCAATGAAATCCTTATTCGCCTGGATGAAGTTGGCATCGAAGTTGTCTCGATTACGTTTGATGGATTTACGGCAAACATAGCAATGTGTAGAATTATGGGCGCAGGCTTTGAGGACGGTGACGCCTTTATTCTTGACCCCACGAATCAGGAGCGTAGAATCTTTATAATCTTAGACCCTCCCCATATGCTCAAATTAATCAGAAATTGCATTGGTACCAGAAACTTAATTGATGACGATGATGGTATAATCTCGTGGAAGTATATCGAATTATTGTACGAGACACAAAAAAATCTTCCATTTAATTTGGGCAACAAGTTAACTAAAGAGCATATGGATTGGCAGCATAGAAAAATGTCCGTTAAATTAGCAGGCGAGACGATTAGCAACAGCGTGGCTGACTCATTGGAGTTCATGATGAGCGAAAATGATAGTTTCAAAGGTGCAGGGCCAACAATCAAATTGATCCGAATTACGAATGATGTCTTTGATGTGATGAATTCTTCAAAATTGGAAGGCGCTATCGGTCTCAAAAAGCCCCTTTCAAAATCCAACTATATTGAGGCTTTCACTCGTTTTAGAGAAGCAATGCCGTACTATAAAGCACTGCGAGTAGAGGGCGAAACAAAACCAATATTCTCCTCTGGATCTTCTACACCGTTCATCGGCCTATATTGTAATATGGCGAACATTATGAAAATATTTGAAGAATATATAAGCAATGACAAGATGGATGTCTTAGTAACACACCGCTTTTCCCAGGACTTGATCGAAACACTGTTTGGCTGTATTCGCAGCATGGGCGGTAGATATAATCTTTCTTATCATTATGCATTTAATATAATATACATTTAACTAATTATTTTTTTTTTTCTCAAGGCCACAACGACAATCCAACTGCACAGCAGTTTGAGGCAGCTTATCGCAAGTTGATGGTTCATAATGATGTCGTATGCTCGAAAAAAGCAAATTGCATTGACAGCGGCACAAGAATTCTCACTGTTTCATCGAATCGGACTACAGAGAAGAAAAATGTCACCGAAGAAGTTGAACAAAATGTGCTTGAGGATGAAGAGCATAGCGATGAGATGTTTCTGGATGAAGACTATATCGATAGTTTTGAAGTCACACAATATGTAGACGATGCACAAGATCATTCTTTAGCGTACATGGCCAGTGTATTAGAAGCCAAAATAATGCAGGCCAATCGCTACAGAAAAATAATCAGCTGTGAGCAATGTATTGCTGCGTTCATTGAGAACGAGTTGCTCGAAGATAGTTTCATACGTTTCAAATCTCGAAACAGTAATATTTTGCAACCTTGCAAAAGTACGTTTGAAATTTGTAAATTCGTTGACGTATATTTAAGGACATGTGAAGGAAAAACGATCTCTTACGAGTCGATTGCATTGCAAATACTGCGTAAGATTTCGTTTGAAAACCTATTTGTTAGCTCCAATTTTGAAAATCATTCTGATGGATCGGGACATCGATATAGTTTCATAAAAAAAATAATTGATCTGTACATGCGAATGAAGTCAGTTGATATTGCAAAGCGATTGACTTTGAAAATCCATAATGAAAATCCGGTTCGACATAAATATAAAAAGTTGATCCAAGAACAGGGACAATAAGAAATAATTATGCCTTAGTTTGAAGAAAAAGTCTATGTGATTTGTTAAAAGAAAAACACAATAAAATTTTGTTTCGATATTTATTTCGATATAAGAAAAACGATGAAAAATATGCCTTTTATTTAATAAATACTGTGTATATGTTTATGAATTGAAAATGACTTTTTGATCTAACGAAATATAAACTATCTAAAGAAAAGAAAAATAGCATCTAAGTTTTAACACAGTTGTGTAGTTCAGGTAACAGTAGGCTTTTTTGTTTGTTGGTTGAAGAACCTGGAAAATTATTCGACTTGAGGTGGAGTGATGTTTTCCTTGTTTGCATTCGATGCGTCTGCAGCCAAATCGTTTTCGTTTGCATTCAGTGCGTTCGGAGTTGAAACGGCCTTGTTTGCATCCGATGGATGAGAACCATTTTCTGACTTTCCTTTGATCATCTTGTTGCCGTTCTTCTTCTTCAATTGTTCCAAACTTCCAGCCGTTTCAACGTACAACGATTTGTAGTACTCCTTTGCCTTTTTGTTTTTTTCGGCTGCCTGTTGCAACTTCTTACGTTCCTCCTCGAATGCTTTTCTTTGTGCTTCCAATGCCTCAACACGTTGCATCATTTCAGCATTGAGTTTGATTTGTGCTTGCATCATGTCGTGGCTGAGATCATGTGGAATTGATGCATTGAGATCAACCAAATTATTTCCAATGGAATGAACCGCTTTGGCCAATGACAAATCAACAGCGTTGTTTGCACCATCTGCATCAGTCACTTCAACAACTGATGTCGGTGTATTGGAGTCGTTCAAAGCACCACTCACTATTGTATGATTGCGCGAAGTATGAACGTTGTCAAGCACACTGAAACGAGGTAAAACCGGCAACCATGGGACATTCGAGCGACCTTGATTGTTTGCACCAGCTTGCACAGTGGTAATTCGATTTGCCCTGGCAGCAGCTGAAAAAAATATAATATTCAAATACTCATTAGCATCATTTCATTTGATCTGAGTACAATCAAAAAAAAAACAATTTATAGAAAAAATAAAATAAAAAAGAAATAATAAGATGGGTTACCTAAACGGCTATGCTGGCTGCGTGTTGTAGGTGCATGAAATTCATCAACAGTCGTATCCAATGATGCATTCAATTTTGGCCGACCACGTTTTGGTGTTTCGCTCGGAGTATTGATACGACGGGATTTTGCCGGAGGAGCATCAGCAACATTCACTGAGCGTGCACGTTGATTGCGTCTTCCAGGTGCTGGTAATACATCAGCGGATGAATTGCAACTCGGACTTGCATTCGATCTGGCTCGGGCTCGTGGTTTTGGTGTTTCGATTGGAGTTTCGTCGCAATACTTTTCATTCGGAGGAGTAGCAGCACTTACTGAACGTGAACGTTGGTTGCGCTTTGCTGGTGCTGGTGCCGGTGCGGTTACGATTGGCAATTCAGCAGTCATATTTGCTTTGGCCACATGACATTCACCACCAGAGAAACAGCCAGAAACATTGCGATAGCGGTCATATTCAAACCCGAATGACATTGGGTGACGGTGATTTTCAAAACCGATTGGATGGTGGTAACCACCGAAACCGTATGGTTGATTGAAATATGGAAATGGATACATGAAATCATCATAACGGCGATTACGACTGCGACTACGACGACCATAAGCATTGTCACGAACACCGTCATATCCATCGCTTTCCGATGATGAGTATCTACGGCCTCGGCTGCGGCTACGGCTAGCATGACGTCGGCGGCGATATTCCCATTCGTCATCGTCACGTCGAAATGAATATTTGTTCACTTCGCGGCTTTCACTTTTTTCACGACGTTCAAAATCTTCTGCTTCAAACTGTCCTTTACGACTACGACGCTCCATCGACACATTCTCCGATTCTTCGAAGCGAACTTTTTTTGTTTGCTTTGCAATTTCAGATTCACTGAGTGGGCTCAACACCACTTTGCATGAACGGGTTTTAACCATTTTGCGAGGTTATGTTATTTTGCGAAATGAAGAAAAATGCTAAAAAAAACACAAAAAAGCAAAAAATAACTATAAATAATAACAAATTCAACAAATTAAAACAATAAAATTTTGGAAAAAGTGAAGAAAAGTTAAAATGAAAAATAGTTAAACCAGAAAAAAGTGGAATTTGCCAAAGATGAAAAAATACTCACACTTGTTGCTACTGCGGTTTGTAATGAAAAGAAAGTTTGTCGTTGATGACAGTATGTTGCTGTCAAAATCACCGCGAGTACAGCAGAGCGCCAAGATTCATGGTAGGTGGCGTTTTGTCGATTTTTCAGAGATTTTTTGTATTGCCAGCATACAATACTAACACCGCCTGTAAATAAATGAAGACGTCAAATTTGACTTGTCAAACAAACAAAATGTTCACATACCGCTTTGTTCGCCAACTGCTGCATTGATCGGTGAAACATCTTGGCCTGAGTCGACAATTTGTTCATTCTCACCACTAGGTGGAGTTTCTATAAATTCAGATGAATATGTGCATTGAAAAAAAATACAAAAAAAACGTATGACAAATACAACAGAAACAATATACAATTTAGTTTTTATTTACAAAATTTATTAATTTACTATTGAAAAAATAACTGTTTGAAGCAATTTTATTACCTTCCAATCTTCTTTTTTCCGCGTTTGGTGACAAATCTTCTTGCGGCGGTCTCTTAGCACCTCGTTGGCGAAACATCTTTTTGTGTCGTGGATACGCCACTTCTTGTTCGCACCATTATTGAAATGGTCGAATTCCATTGAATGACATTAGCACGCCGATCGCAATATTTGTTTTAATTATCCACGAATGAAAAAAAACACAGCACTAAAATTTGATTTGTCAGAATTTTCACAACACGTTTCTTCGAAAAAACTACACCACACAAAGTATTCACGACGACTCAAACATAACTGTTGCACCGACTAATGACCAACTACTAATGCCTTAGCAGCGAGCACGTGTTAGAAGATGCTACTGAATGCTTGTGCACAACGACCCATTTATTGAACGCTGACAGTTTATTGTATATTCACATAGCAATACGCATTCACAAGAGAAAGTGGGAACACTGTTTGTGTGCAAATGTGCAATTTTTTATTCTTTCTGGCAAATCCGTATATTCCATAGCGAGAATATACATTAAATTGCCAGCGTTCAATCGAAAGCCGACGTTGTATATTACTTTGACATCATCTATTCGTTTTCCTCTCTAACGTAAATTATTTTTTCCTAGATTTTCTGAAAATTGTCGTAATAAAATCCTTTCTATTCTATTTTTAGCCTAAAATTTGGTTGGTAAATCATTTCCCCATTTTGATAAATCGTTTTCCGATTTTCGTAAAACATTTCCCCATTTTGATAAATCATTTTCCGATTTTCGTAAAACATTTCCCTATTTTTTGATAAATCATTTCCCCATTTTGATAAATCAATTCCCCATTTTGATAAATCATTTTCCCATTTTGGTACGACAAAACCATTTAACCAAAAGTGTTGTATAAAAAATATTGTATTCAGATAATTGTGAGTTATCTAGAAAATGAAAAAGTATCTAAATATTTTGAGTATCTATAGATAAACATAAATTATCCTACTCTTATTTTATATAAAATGTTTGAATAAACTCATTCTGTTTCCATCAAAATCGGAATCAGTAAAACCAATCACAATTCCGTATTCGTATAGATTCCTTACGGAATGGAACGGAACAAATCTCTTTCCGTTTGTTTCTGTATCGAGGTGATCTGCGAATGTTCTCATTTCTTATTTGGTTCCGTTCCGTATTCATGTTCGTTCCATATCCCTTCCGTGAGGATTCCTTAATGATGTTAATGTATTATGAATTTAATTCAAAATTGCGTTAAAACAAGAAGTTCTTAAATTCAAAACAAACTAATTGGCGTCAATGCCTAATAGTCGATTGCATTTTGCATTGAAATACAACAACAATTTCTTTTTATAGTGTGCAGTTGAGTTATGTTCGTGAGCGGCGCTGTGTTATTTCGCCGCATGTGAAAGAAGTCATTGTGACAAGTGGTTTGCAATTCGCTCTGTCAAACTGGGCGAATTCCAAACCAGCCGCCTTTTTGATTTGACTCTTAACGCGGCAACATATATTTTGTGTTTAAGAGTGACAACTATTTCAATAAAAGAAGAAAAAGAAGAAAAAAGAAGAAAAAGAAGAAAAAAAGAAAAGACAAAATGCCGAAACAAAAAGTTCCACGTGAATTGAAAGCACTGTTGGATTATGCAGATGAATTTTTGCCAAATTTTGGTGTTCAAAGGTGAGTTGTAGCAAATAAGTTTTATTTGCTTTTGTGTCGGTACAATGTGCCGAGACAAATTGTTGCATAGCAAATATAACTTAACCTAATTTTTGTCGATGACACTGGCTGTTTGTATATATTTTCAGTGGATCTTCGCGAGAACGGATTATCCCAAAACGGACTCGTGCCAAACCAACTCAACGATTGGCAATCGTTTCTAATGCATCAACCACAAAAGTATATGGGAAGAAATGCGGTCGTGAAGCTTCAAGGTAAGTTGTAGCAAATATAATTTTATCTACTTTTGTCTCGGTACACTGTTCGCCATGAGAAATTCAGAATATTTTCATATGTTTCAACGCAATTTTCATAATTAGATGCAGTAACTTCGTTATGCACGAGAAGTCGTTATGCAAAACCACATACATAATTTATCCAAATCCCGATTTAAAAATATTTAATTTAACCATCTTACATTTAAAACCTGTTCGGCGTGTTCAGGAATTAATTCTTGAGATTTCATATTGCTTATAATATCCTTGAGCGTCTTTGCTCTCTTTTGATAATAACTGACTAGATTATTTAATTTGTTGATTTGATGCGCATTTTCCTTACATAAAGATTCAATTCGGCTTAATTTTTTCGATAACATTTGTATTTGAATTTCCAAATCCATTGACTTCTTGCATATGTGCATATCAGTTACCATCTGTAATGTCTCAGGTTTGGTGCTTAAAATGAAGGAAAAAAATATTGTTGAAATTGTTGTACTATTAGCTAACACAAAACCTACTGAGCGGGATGTTCATCACTTTCAAACAATTTTCCAATGTCATAATAATTTCCATCAAAAAACGACTCTTGACACTCGCTTCTTCCATCATCGACTGAAACGCCTGTTGACAGGCTTGAAACAGGGCTGCAATTGTAAGAGGAAATGCAGCACATTAATCAAAATCTCACAGCTAAATTATGAGAATAATCTCTTACCTGGAAACTATTGACGATGGGCTGGAGTTTATGTTTTGGGATCCGATTATTTCATCAAGGGAATTGTTCTCAGTAGCAACATTTGGAACAATCCTAAATAATTTACATAAAAAAATCAATATAAAATAAAAGTTCGATATTACTATAAACACAACTAAAATCTAATTTGAATATCGCGGCATATAACACAAAACAGTGAGCCGTGACATTTCTCCCTAGACCGAGACTTTTTTTCTCATTAGACAAGGTTATGTGTGATTAGAAACATCTTTGTGATTAGAAACTAACAAAGATTGTACCAGTGCCGTCTTAGACTGGAAGCGAATGAAGCAGCCGCTTCAGGGCCTCGCGATTTCAGGGGCCCCGAGCTGCTGAAAAGGCCCTTGAAATGTTAAGAGAAAATCTTATCAAAGAAAATTGAAAAAAAACACACAAAAAATACAAAAATTCTCAAATTTATTTCAATCTTCGTGGTTTGTTTGCTGTCTACAAAATAGATGATGCGCGTGACGACGACGCCGTGGAAATGGTTTTGGCCCTATTTTTAGCGTAAATAAAATCATCAATTATTTCATCGAAGTCCAAATTATTCAAAATTTCACATTCAACCACTGAGCAGAAACGATTGAATGTCAAATAAGAATGAGTAATCAAAGAATTTCAACTGCAAGACGAAAAAAGTCATATACATACATATATTTCGCCTTATTTGTTGTTTCTGTCTTACTTTTTGAATGTAAGTAGTGTGACTCACTTTTTAATAGAATGGTCAGTGGTATAATTGTTTACATATCAAAATATAAACAGTTTATCGATCAACCGGTTGAGCGAAATTCTTTATTACTGAGTATGGTTGACTCTTCCAGACGAATGTAATTAAACATAGAGAGAGAATAGACATAACGATAGGTTTCGTTTGTAAATTCGAATTGGATGTTGAGTCACATATATAGAGCTAATTAAAATATTTACGCAATAGGTCCAAAATAATAATGAATAAGAGTGTTCATTAGGGTGGATCGATTTTTAAAATCGTACAAAATCAAAAACCAGTCTACGGCTCATAAAAGTGTATTCTCGAGGTACCTCTCGAACAAAAAATGATAATTTCACAACAAAATCCGTAAAAATCGTCACTTTTGTTCGACAAGTATCTTAAAAAATCACTTTTTGGAGTTTTTGGCACAGAAGACCGCCCATATTTTTGAAAAAAAAGGTTTCCACCAAGACACTAACCGTGAATTTTTTTGAACAATAGTCTATTTTTCAAGATATGAACTTGAACCAAGCTAATATGAGGCCAAAAATATGTGAAAACATCACTCGATTTGATCATTTAGGTACCCAAAATGTTCGTAAGGTACCACACTAGAAGTTAAAAGGCAGCTAAGGCAAAAATTATCTGCCCTGTGAGGTAATATCACTGTTAAACCGAAGCTCATGGACGTAATTTTCTCATTTTGCTCAGAATAAACGCAATTTACGACACCAAAATCACATAAATCTGTACAAAATGAAAGCGGAAATCAATTCTGCGTTAAAATTAGGTGGAACTAGCTCTTCAGACGTTTCAAATTCGAAAAAAACGGACTTGTTTGGCTATATATAGCGTAAAATGGCGACTTTTTAGTCATTTTCGAGTATATTTGAGCCTCTCAAGCCACCAAATCACTATTTTATGTGCATTTAATGAACAGATTTGGATTCCTCGTCAAAAATTAGACTAAGTAGAGTCATTTTTAGCTATATATTTTGGAAATTTTGAGGGTCCTGAGGTGAGTATTTGCGAAAAATTAGCCAAAAAATGGATACTTGGTCGAATTTTGACCTACGAAGGCGACAAAATCGCGTTGGAACGGTTTCAAATCAACCTATTTTTATGTAATTTTTCGCGACAAATCCAAATATCATAGTTTGCATCACATGCAAGAAAAGTGGGAATTTTTTGAGATATTTCAACAAATAGTCTGGAAAAATCATCAAAAAATGAACCAAACAAAAATTGAGTGGGGATTGTGGGAATCCTCTTTTCGGCATATGTCCCAGAACAAAAGTTTCTTCTTTT